GGAGGGGGGGGGGGGACGTAGTGGTTCAGTTGGGCCCATGATTTCTACATTTGGTGTTTGCTAATGGGCCACCAGTCCATGATTTTGTAACTTACACGTTTTATCCATTACTCGAAATGTTTTTTTGGTAAAGTTTTTGGTAAATAAATGTTTTTTTTTGTTAAATAAAATAAATGTTTATATGTTTTTTTTGGTAAAGAATGTTTATATGTTTTTTTTATAGATAGTTTCGGCGAGTTTTCATGTATTCGAGATACCGTATCTTTTTAATTTATTGTAAGATCAAAATAAATTATTCGTCATAATGACGTTTCTATTCTACCTTTCGAAAGTTGGAAAAAAAATCTTAATTAAGATCAACTTACAAGTAAGTTACATCATATAATTGCGTTTACATTACACTTACAAGTAAGTTACTTTGTTAAAGATATAAAACCGAAAACTATGAAAATCATACATCATATATTATTTTGAATAAACCATATAGAAAAATAATATGTATACGTAATACGTTAGTGCTTCATTTGCGTCTTACGAAACATGTGATTATCCGATAAATACTAAGGAAATATGTATGACGTAAGATAGCGACAATTATTGCAAAAAATTATAAAGATCTATTTTTTTTTTTAATCGAGACGTGGAAATAATAATCATTTTGACAATAAGCTAATTGCCCTTTAGTCCAAAATTATCCATTAATCTAAGATCGATCATCTCAATTTAATCTGTAATCGATTTCGGTTCGGCTGTTCACGTTGGTGGACGTCCATTGCAGCGACGACAAAAGTTGGGTCGGATTCAGATCCGCCATAGATGCAGGAAATCTCCGGCTCCAGGTTCTTGGGAGCTTAGCTTTGGTCGTGTCCGAACTCTCTCCGGGTTCGTCTCTGTCCCCTCGCCATCTCCGACCAACCATGAAGTAAGCTCTTTGACTTTTTCTCTCTCGGCCGTGTTCATCTTCCTCTGGTTCGCTGATTCTTACACTCTCTGCAAATCCTGTCGATTAGCGTTAGTGTTTATGGGAACGGTTCTTGTTTGATTCCGTCTCTCTGCCGGAGATTTTCTGTTTATGATTCTCTCTCTCGAATGATCAGAAATCGGGGTTGTAACTTGTTAGATCTGTTTCATCGATGGAACAGAGATTTCGAACGGAATCAAGTTCCATGGGAATCCATTACCGGAATCTGGTCTGTCCATAGACGAACGATATCAATTGCTGTTCATCTTATAACTTCGTTGAAAGAGTGAGGTTGTTTTGGACAGAACAAGAAAGCTCTTTGGAGTTTCCATTTCTCTGATTCTCATAAACATGGCGGCAGTAATGGAGAGAGCAGATGAGAATCTTCTTCCATCAGTTTACAAAGAAGTCAGTGAAGCTTTCAATGCCGGCCCCTCTGATCTCGGCTACCTCACCTTCGTCCGAAACTTGGTTCAGGGCCTGGCCTCGCCTCTAGCCGGCATTCTCGTCATAAGCTATGACCGCCCCACCGTTCTCGCCATAGGCACCTTCTGCTGGGCCTTGTCCACTGCTGCTGTAGGCGCAAGCCGGTATTTCTTACAGGTCGACCTCTCTCTCTCGATCCTCGAAGCAATGACGGGTTCGAATCCTGTGACATTAATCGCTGTTTTGATTCATTTCCCATCAGGTTGCTCTGTGGAGGGCGGTTAACGGGTTTGGACTGGCGATTGTTATACCAGCGCTTCAATCGTTCATTGCTGATAGCTATATGGACGGAGTGAGGGGAGCTGGTTTCGGCTTTTTGAATCTCGTCGGCACGATTGGAGGTATAGGAGGAGGTGTAGTGGCAACTGTCATGGCCGGTCAAGAATTCTGGGGAATGCAGGGCTGGCGATGCGCCTTTGTAATGATGGCCGCCTTGAGCGCATTGATCGGATTCCTCGTCTTTGTCTTTGTCGTCGACCCGAAGAAGAAAACAACGAGCCTCGTCCTTCACGACACTAAAAGGTAAAAAAGAATAATCATCCCTTCTCGGATTCTTGGCATCAGGACATAGTTTTTCTCTTGTTCTTGGTTTGAACCCGTTAAGGTTTTGAACTCAGTGGCGAGGAAAAGAAAAATACTTCGACCTCTGTCTGGAACAGCTCGTGGGCAGCGACCAAAGCTGTCGTGAAAGTACGGACTTTTCAGATCATTGTCTTGCAAGGGATCGTTGGTTCACTTCCATGGACTGCAATGGTGTTCTTCACCATGTGGTTTGAACTCATCGGTGAGGATCACGCATCGTTTTTTTCGAAATTCGAATATCGTAAAACCCGGAAACAAACCCGTATCTTGAAGATTAACATTATCCCGATCGGTTTCAGGGTTTGATCACAACAAGACGGCGGCTCTGCTCAGCGTTTTCGCAACTGGAGGTGCAATAGGTACGTTGATCGGCGGAATCATAGCCGATAAGATGTCGGGTTTGTATCCGAATTCGGGCAGAGTAATGTGTGCTCAGTTCAGTGCTTTCATGGGGATTCCATTCTCCATTATCCTCCTGAAAGCAATCCCACAGGACACAGACAGTTACTTCATCTTCTCGGTCACTCTCTTCCTGATGGGTCTGACCATAACCTGGTGCGGTTCTGCCGTGAACGCTCCTATGTTCGCTGAGGTTGTCCCCCCAAGGCATCGCACGATGATCTACGCCTTCGACCGTGCCCTCGAAGGGTCGTTCTCGTCTTTTGCAGCGCCATTGGTCGGGATTCTGTCCGAGAAGATGTTCGGGTACGACTCTAAGGGCATCGATCCTCTCAAGGGATCTGCCCGTGAAGCCGAGGCCTTATCAAAGGGGCTTTTGTCAATGATGGCCGTCCCGTTCGGGCTCTGTTGCCTCTGCTACACGCCGTTGCACCTCGTCTTCCGAAAAGACCGAGAAAACGCTAAAATTGCTAGTTCCAAAGAAACCGAGATGATCTGAGATTGTAGTGACGGGTTTCGAAAACGTAAAGATCGATTCTTTTTTGCTCCTGGAACCTCATTGTCTCGGATTCTAACACAATGCAGACAACAGCAAATGTCTATACCCACAAATGAAACGATCAAAGTGTTTACATACATGATTCGAGTTGATATCTTTCATTCTCCTAAGCAGATTCTTCAACCGATACAATGGTGAATAAGAACTCTTATCTTGCTTGAAAGTTGATCAAGAACTTACTTAGATACACCGAGGGAAGAAGGTTTGACCGACATATCCACCCGACATGGCCCTCCTGACGTTGGACTCAAACAATTTCGGGTTATCTCTCAAAACTGCTGCGGCGTCGTGATTCAGAGGGTCCTCGCAATTGGGTTCCTGTGCGAAAACAAGACTTGTAAACCAACCGAGAAACACTAGAATCATCGGTTAGGTATATTTCAAGTTAGGTCATCGAGAATATTTACCGTGAAAAGATGGTACAGCCCGTAGATAACAGTGTTTATGTTGAGAACGGGTTTCCAGTCTTCTCGCAAGATGTTCAGGCAAACATTTCCCTCCAAGTCGATATTGGGATGGTAGACCTACAAGGAAAATGAATGAAAAGATCCAAGATTTGTAATCGAATGATGAAATTTCATGAATAAACCCACACCTTGGTCTTGCATTTAACCTTCGGAGCTTCATGTGGATACACATGAGAGACCTGGAACGAGAAAACGAATGTACCGTTTCTGCCATTTTGAAAACGCGAGAGAGTAAGTTCCCGGGTAGATTCTCGAGACTACGAGACAAAAAAGAACCGATGAAAAAGTCGATCCTTACTGGTAGTATCCTTCATCGGGCTTAATGGACACCTCAAAGTGCATCAAATCATCCTTTCCATTCGGAAAAGATATGGAACAAGACTTTGGCAGATTCAATTCCGATATATCTGCTCGTAAGGGAAGCAAAACACACGAGACTTCAGACAAAGATTATCGATACTAAACCCTAAAGGACAAACAATGATGGTGGATTGATAAACTGACAATTAGGAACCTTTGTGAAGACGTAATTCGCCGGCAGATTGCTTCTTGGCAGGAGCTCCCCCTCCTCGGTTAGCATTCTGAGCTTGTTCTCTTTGCTTTTCCTTCACTTTGAATAACCCTATCATGGCTTCAACAACTACAATACAAACCAGAGACAGATTAACTATATATCAATGTCTTCAATCTCCATTACCCAATCTAATATATCTCATAGAAGATCGATCTACACATTGATTAGACATCAAAAGCATCAGGGAAACAAAATTCAAGCATTGCTCGCACAATTCCCACGATATATCAAACCATAGCTTGTGTGAACTTAACACTAGAAAGACGGCAGACTTGAAGCATAAGAATCGTCTTTAATTAGGGTTGGCTATCGAACTTTCCACACAACAGATCGAATCAAACGAAACCCGACCACAGAAAACCCAAATTCGAAGATCCCCACAGTAACCCAACAAAAATCCAGAAACGAAATTACAAGGAAAAAGACATCTATCTGATTTGCCAACAGGGTTAAAAATACCACAGATACAGGACAAGATGACCGATCAGGAGGATGAACCCAACTTAAAAAACGAAACGACGATACCGAAGAAGAGATAAACGATTGAAGAACTTACAAACAAGCGGATATTTTCTCAGAATGAAAAGGAGATCGGAACAATTACGCGCAAATCGGAACTCGCAGTTCTGGTTTCTCTTCTCTCCTCTTCTTCCTCTTCCTCCTCTTCGTCGTCCTCTTCTTCTTCTTCCTCGCGTTCTCGTAAGCTGAACGATGGAAATGCAAGGTGAGAAGAAAGTTAAATGTGATGTATTTTAGCTTCGTCTCAACGCTGACTCAGATTCGGAATCTTCACCTCTTTCGTGTCGATGCCTAATGGGCCCATTATGCTGAAGCCCAAAGGGACATTGTAATGATTTTTAAAAGGCCTTTTAAGGCCCAAATATATTCGTCCGTCATACATACATGAACATGACAATGACAGTCACGTTATTACCACCACCACACACTCGAAAAGGTTGGAAAAAAAAACATATTAATATTGTTGTTATAATTAATATTTTATTAATCACAAAATGTTAAATCACTGTCTTATGTAAATGATAAATATATTTGGTTGGAGAGAGTTTTTCGCTATTCCTAGTTAATAAGATATTAAAAAGTACAGAGCTTTATATATATATATATATGTATATGGGAAAATTTATATAAAAACCATATATTTGAGTAACAGGTGGGAGAATTTGGATACAATTTTGATTTTTTAAAAATTTATTTGAAACATACGAAATTGGATTAAATTATACAATTATCTTTCATATTTATTAGTTATATTATTAACAAAACTATACATCAATGATTAAACATATTTAATAAAAACATCCTAAATACTGTCAATACTTGCCAACCGTTTGCCTAACGGCCAACTACACAAGTAATTAATACAATCCATATTTGTCTAATTCAACCGGTGAAATGAGACGTAGAGTGTTTGTCTCGTCCCAAATTCGAAACTCAAGTTTGGAGAACGAGAACGAGCGTATAATCTAAATCATATAACTTCCAACTTCGAAAATAATTTGGACCTTGCTTCAAGGTACCGGTAGGCGTTGAATACATAGTATGTATATATTATACAACTATATATAAATATAGATATATGTATATCTATCTGCATGCGGTATATTTATATCATTAATGTGTGTGTATATATATGTAAACTCCAATATATATATATATATATATGTATATAATATAGATATATGCGAATATATATATAGATATATATGTGTGTGATCAGATGTGCGTGTATATGTACATAAGAATATAAACATGTAATAATTAGCGATTATGTAGATATTAAGTTGGAAATATACAATATATATAATACTATATATATGTTTGTATACGTAAGTAGTTAAATGTCTGTATAATATTTATATATATATATATATATATATAAGTAAATAAAAAAGGAAAGAAAAGGATAATGATAAGAGAAGAAGACAAAATGGCATAATTAAGCTGCCTTTTATTTTCAACATCCGACAAATGCAAAGCGCGAATCATGATGAAGACGCACTTAGAAATATTTAATTCGCGATCGCGCGAACGATTGTCCGACAACTTTTCTGCATTTCACGCCACTCAGACGACATCATTATCACGCCATTATTGAGTTTCGTTTATAAAAGGAGATAGAGAAGAACAGAGAACGAGCAAAAGTCGAGAGAGTTTTAGGAGAGATTTTCAAAGTATTCTCGGAGAAAGGAGAATAGAGAAAGACAAGTAGACGCTGCGCTGTAAAAATACTGAGCAATTTCTTTCTCTGTTTCTGTTTCAATATGAATACTTGTTGGATTCTTTTCGTTATTATGTTTTCCATAGATTGTGAGTAATTTTTCCGTTGTAGGTTATAGATTAAATGGTTTGTAAGGATTTATTTTAGTAATTACAGTTTTATAATTTGGATCGAATTAATAGATTTTAATGCTGCAATTCGTTTTGACCAATTGAATTATTGATGTTAGAATTTGAATTTACATAGAGATATAAAATTTGAATTCAGAAATTATTTATTCGATTAGGTAATTTTCGTATCGAGAGATAGTTGCATTGCCTAGAAATTATGATGGCGGATTTAATGATTTTTAAGAATTATAATCTATTCAGAACCGAGAGGTCGGTAGAATAAATTCTTAGAAAATAAGGTGAGACTCGAGAGGATAATCCTTTGCAAATACGGACTTGAATTTTCTAAATTATGACCATAGTTACCGAAATATATCTTTAGGAACGATCCTTACATAACCCGAAAAATCCCGATACCTACAACGTCTTAATTAAATTGTGTTAAAATCGTTGTTTGTATTTGCTTTAAGTAATATTTACATTTAATCACCATCATCACCACTCAAAATTATCGTCCCGACCGAAACCGAGTAGAACCCGTAATTGTACCATTAATGTCCACGTGTCCCTGTGTTCGACTCTAGATACTGCAATTGACTCGTGCACTTGTGGTAGTTGTATCTAGGAAATTAAATGAGATTTGATCACACCCTAGATCGACATCACTATTACACATTGGATGTCACGAATTTATAAATATATTTTGTCGGTCTACAATTATACTCATTCTTTATAACTTTTATCATGCCAAATATGGATTTTTCGATAAAAATTTAAATTCGGAAACAATATGAATTTATTTGAACTAAAAACTATGCGGTATTTATAAATGAGATAAATCAGTTATATATATATATATACACATTGTCAAAAATATATTCCATTTGCTATTTTGATTTCAAGATATAACCTTTTCTAGTTGTAATCCTGTAAGTCTTGTGACTAAAATTATAGTTTTGTCACATATTGGTTATATTGATAACGTTAAATTTATGGTTATAACACTAATTCATGATATTTATCTCTTATATATCTCACTAATCATTTGATAAAAATATTGTAAATTTAACGTAATGATTATTATGACCAACATGTGACCATAATGTAATTCTGGTTGCATTGATCACAAAATCACAAATGAAAAAAAGGTATGGATTGAAATCAAAATAGAAAAATAATGATATTTTTTTATATAATGCCAATAATAAATTAACATCACAATTTAGTGATAACCGGCAGTTTAACCGTGTATGATAGAATCGTTGAATTTTCAAATATAATGTGCTCACACTAGGAATTCATTTCTATATTTGTCTTTTTTTTAAAAAAAAAATTCTTTTAATCCAATATATCAAATAATGTAAAAATTATAAAGAACAAAATTACGAATGGGTATATAATAAATTGATAGCACGTGCTTTCCATGTTTAAATAAGAAAAATATATTTTAATACCCATGTAATCTTTGGAATTACATGCTCTTTTGTCATATTACCAGTAAATTACATCACTTCCGGACCTCACCCAAATACAATTAATTGTTAGTGCACTTGTGATATTCTCAAAAACTTTGTCATCCGAAATCCGAAATTATTTGAATATGATAGGATCGGTGAACATAATCGTTGGTACGGTTCTTGTTAAATAAAAATATTTGGACTATAAAAAATAAAATTTTCAATTTTATTAAAATTATACTTTTATAACATTTTTATATTCGCTAAGATTTTAACTTATACTAGGTTTTAATCCGCGTGTATCGCGCGGACTACAGATACGTATAATTTTTTAAAAAATATATTAGTTTTAAACTTAAATATATTATATTTTATTTTTGAATATATAATTTATATATTAAATCAAAATGATAAATATTTTTAAAAAAGAGAGAGAGAGAGAGAGAGAGAGAGAGAGAGAGAGACCTCGCCGAATACAAGTATCAAGGTAACAGAGATGAGAACGGCGACCCAAGAAGGCACCTAACTGTCGAGGAAGATGGGAAGAGCCTCCATAGCTGCGGCATTGGAGATCAGTAGCGTACACAGCAGTAGATGCTGCCTGCCTTTTCACCACTGGCATTATCTTTGCTGCAAAAAAAAAACCCAAAACCAGGTCAATAACCGGACCTGTTTGATTTCGGTTAGATGGAAAATAGAATACCAACCGGCGTGTCTCCGATCAGATGGAGTTCCAGATTTGGCAAGAACCTCAAGATCGACTTGACTGAGAGACATGAGTCCCAGAGTCAGACCGGACATAAGTCCGGCGAACAGGACCAAACCCACCACCATCACTATCCTTGCCATGAATTCTCCTCCACAGCATCTGTATTCTACTCCCATTTTCTTCTTCTTCCTCTTGAAACGAAATCAGGGTTTGATCTATAAAGAGATTAGAAAAGTGTAGTAATTAGGAGAATATAATCCGATTCTTGTCCCCTTTTTTCGAGTGATGAAGTCTCTGGAAGTTGGCCTCTCCTTCTATTTCGTTTCTTTTGTAGTTAAGGGAGTGTGAAAGGGCCATATTGGGATACGCATGAACAGTTTCATGCGACCCCCCAATGATATTATATTTATACGTATTCGTATTATATACGTATAAATTGCCAAACGGATCGTTGTGTTTTGCTGTCTTCAAATGAGTTCCAAGTGTATATGGACCACACGTGTAATATTATTTTAGTTTCCGTTAGTGGATTACTTCAATACCAATCCAATAACAAGATGATGGTATATTATGTAAGAAATTTAGAGCCTTCGGCTCATACGTGGAAACTTGCGGTTGATGGATCGATTCCTCGTCCACTTTAATAAGATATCCGAGAAATCGTACGGATGATTTCACCGATTATTTAATTAAAGTCAGAAAACCTTTTGGGCTTATTTTGTAGCTTTTAGTAACATAGTGGGCCGAACGTATTTACAAGGAACAAAATTTGAGGCCCATTTAAGATGGCATAGGATTTCTCAAAAAAAAAAAAAAAAAAAAAATTTTTGCAGGGGTACTAACAAGAGTTCGCATCCCAAGAACTTGAACCGGAATTTGAAAAAAAAAAAAAAAAAAAAAAAAGGAGAGGAGGAGCTTTCAAAGCTAGGCTGGATTTTGGTGACTCGATGAATGCTGTAATTAAGGCTGTGTGTGTTTGCATATGTCTCTGTTCCTTCTCCCAAATTCAAACAAAAAACACAAAAACAGAAGAGAGAAGACACGACATCGATAAATTGCTCTTGAACACAAAACACACACCATGCTTCAATTTTAATAATATTGACCCACTTGCTATCTTTTTCTGCTCTAATTTGGATATTTGAAATGGAAAAAGAAACATGCCATATGTTCATGCTAATTTTTATTTTTCTGCGTAGGTCCATCATATATATATATATATATATATATATGTAT